CTAACTTAATGGTCATAAAATGGCACTGCGTTCTGTATTAGGTGTTTTATAGGTTCATGGTTTTTACAGAAAGTTTAGATGAATTTATGTTTTTATTCAGGTGGGGGCGGGTCAAATTGTTTTTGGAAATAAGCAAATCTTACAACCCTGCCTGTGAAGGACGGTGGAGTTGCCAGCTATATCTTTAAGAATACAGAAGATAAGATGATTTATTGTAACAGTGGAGGATTTATTTGAAAATCATGTTCATTTAAAGTGTTATCTACTAATCTATATTCATAAGCTAGTAACTGGTTCTACTATTTGTACCAGAGGCATAGCAGCCCTATTTCCCCGCCATGTGTTTTCTAACTAGGCTGCTGCAGTCATATTAGCATCATCAGCTCAGAGTGTGACTCTGTAGGCTGGAGGACCGCTCTGGATCATTCTGACCTGGAGTCTGTGATGCCTCCATGTCCCTCAGCACCACTACCCTCCCCTGAGAATGCTGAGCTAGCTCTAACAGCATTCTCCCTCTGACTTCACCACATAGAGATGGTTTTTTACTGTGCTGTTACTAAATGTAGGATATTTGTTTTAAAAAATAGGCCGGTTGATTCATAAGTCAGAACCACCTGGGGTCTGTGTCATGAAACAATTTTTGCAAACTCGGATGTAAATCCCTAACTCTAAATTTATCTAGCATAAGGTTGGAAACGCTGAGTTTTTAGTTTAATAAAAGCTGCTATGAGTTAGTTTTGAGTTCCAAGCATGAAAAACCATTACCAGTGGAGCCCAGATCCGACCAGTCACCATGACAACAGACAACAGGAAGTGTCTATCAAATCCTATGTGAATAGGCGTTCCCGCTTGGGAGCACATTAAGGCTCTGCGTGTGCATTTTTTTACTTATTTTTTAAGTGGAGAGGGCAGGTCTTTTTAAAAAATAGCGAAAATCCTCCCCTATAGCTTTCAAAAAGAATACTTTACCTATGAAAGGAGTTCAGAAGGACAGAAAACGGAAAATGTAGTGATCCTCTTCGAGCCTAGCAAAAACAACCAAGGACAGAAATCACAGTTAATCAATATCCTCCAAGAAAAAAATAATTATTCAGGAGAAAAAAAGATATGTTAAAATAACGATCCTCTTTGAGCCTTGCAAAAACACAAAACATCAGTCAGACCGAGCAGGTAAGCGCAGCGTATTTCTCTCACCTCTTTATGAAAAAAAAAAACCTGGATAAAGCTCCCAGATCTCTGAGAATCACCTCTCTGCCTCAGTCAGCATAGAAACCGTCCCACAGAGTTTATTGCTGTGTTTTTCTTGTCTTTAGATGTAGATCTCATTACGTTTTCATGAACAGTCTCTCTGTTCTGGTTTGAGATGCTGCACAGACTCGTCTTTATTTTTATTAACGTTTCATATTTGTTGAACTAAACCTGTGAAATTGTTTTAATCTGTCTAGCACAGAGAAAGAAGTGAAAAAAATCTGAGCAGATCTGCTCACCCTGCCTAGTTAGAGCCTCTCTTGATGCAGTCAGAGTGACATTAAAAGAAATGGAATCGGGATTAAAAAAGTCGTACTAAACCATTGTGTTCAGGTCTTAACTATATCAGATTTAAATCAAATAGTCTGTGATGTGACCAGCCCTTCTACAGGAGACTGGATAACGGCTGAAATAAACTGGCATCAGAACCAGAGCATGCTCCAAACACTTTTCATTACCTTCCTCTGCAACATCAGACCTTTTTGCAGGAATATCTTGATAAGTCATATCTAAATCTTTTATTTAGGCAAACCTATTGAACAACCAGATATCATACGGGTCGTGGTTCCTGAGCTGAGTCGTTTGTTGTGCGTAGTTTATGTGATTATTTTTCACCAAAATTGTGATTGCAATTTTATTTAGATTTTCCTTTCCACTAACCCCAAGCTTGTGGATGTTTCACTGCAGGCTTTTGATTTCTGACAGCCATAGTCCATTTTTACAGGACTTTATGTTAACCAATGTATGAGAAAGTGTTTACTTCTACTCCCATGCATAGATCTATGTGCTAGCTGCAAATCTCTCTACCTTTCGGTGAGGCGACAAACCCACTTCAACCGTTTAACCACCGCCTTAGTGTCTTACTTTTGTTAAATATAGTGTGATTAAAAATCGTTAAGTCTGCGATTTTAAATTAAATTGCGATTATATTGCTAATGGAATAAATTGCTTAGCCCATCTTTTTCCCAAAGACTCCTGGCGATGGGCGCCAGCCCCCCATAGCTAACCCTTTTTTCACAAGTGGGTAGAAGATTAAGCCGGGCGTACACTGTGTGATTTTTTTTTTTTCAGTCGCTGCACGCAGCTACTGCTCACACTGTACGACTAAACCCTGTGGTTAGTCGTACAGTGTGAGCTCACAGCTCACGATTTATGTTGGGCCCGACGCACTCATGCGATCGACCTTCTCAAACTGTGCAACTTAAAACCACGATGGACTCGGCTCCGTAATGGAGCTGCTCTGACTCGTCTATCGGGAAGCCAAACAAATAGAAGGGGAATATTCAGCTCACTATAGTGAAACGCGCTGCCTTGTCATTTTATGCAATTTTGTGCTGAAAACCCTGAAATGAAAACGACGTATTTGGACAAAAACAAGGCTAAGCAAACGTGGCTGCTACGGTCTGTTAATTTTACAGAAAGAACTCCATTTCACTCATTCCATCCCTGCCATGCTGCTGTGTTTACATCTGAGAAGAAGAAGAAAAAGAAGAATCCTTCTTTGCGCCCTGAGCGATTTGCCCACGACGGTCGGAAGAAATCAAAAATGTTTGATTTCTTCCGACCTCACGATTCCTGATCGGGACCTGGTCGTGAGAGGCTGAGCGCCCCTCGTTACCCCCTGTACACTACATGACTCACGACGCACGATCAGGCTGAAAGTCTGGCTGATTGAAAGATTCTCCCACGACTAGAAAATCGCCCAGAAAATCGCACAATGTACACCTGGCTTTATTTGAATTCGTTGGTCAGAAATTTGAGTAGAAATTTCTGTATCAACTAAGAATTTGTCGGCACAGGGTCCTGCTATGTTTTGCTTGTAAGTTGTAAAAATCCACTTTGGAAACCAAAGGTCCAAATTGAACGTGAAGCATCTTCTTAATAAGTGTCCTGCTCACTGATTAAGCATTTTACATGTCAGATTTTGATCAGCTTGCCTTTTTTCTTCCTCTATTGTCAGGTCAGACTGCGTGGACATTCTTACCAAGTGTGGGGACAAGAAGTATTTTCACGAAGGACAAACCCCCGAGAGGCTCTGTGAGGTTCTTTCTCCCATCGATGACCCAGAACATTGCATCCCCCTCCACAGATATCTCAGTGAGTTGCTCTTCATGATCACTTTTCATAATATGGAGCAAAATAAAGTGATGAACATAATTACAAACTTTAGAATCACAGTTACAGAGGAAGTGTTAGCAATGTTGAGTTCACTTAATTCTTCATAGGTTTAATTATCTGCTTTCAAACAGGTTGTATTTGTTCGTTTTAGGGCTGAAACACTTAATTGAATTAATCAATTATTGAAATAATTGTCAGTTATTTTAGGAATCTATTAATTGTTGACTGTAGTATAGAGACTCTAAAACATGCCTTTAGCTGACAGAGTGACCCACATAGAGTAGAAATACCATATTTGTAAAAAAAATATGTAAACATTTTACATTTAAGATAAAAAAAACTTTTTCATTTATCTTTCTGCTCTATTCAGAACTCCTCAAGGGGAAAAGTTTTAGTTTCACCAAGTTTAATTTTGTAAAAAGCCTTCTTTAAGGAACCTTTTGCTGTACGATTAAAGTTGTAAGAAGTCATATTTAAATGTCAAATAATTCTGGCTTAAACATGTATATAAATGTACTCTTTATAAGACGATATTGTCCCAAAAGTTAGAACATTTCTCTTTTAAAAATAATCCTGTCTTTAAATCTGTGTTTTTTCTTTGTTATCTTATGCAGACCAGTTAGTTATACATTAGCCTGAACAACAACAATCATATATCAACGGTCATCTGTCAATCAAATTTTTTTGGTCATAGCCTCTTGATTAATAGGTTGCAGCTAATATAAGCAACAGTTGAAATAAGAATAATTTCCTTTCCCATTGAGTTCCGTCCCAGTGTTCACGGGGATGGACGTCTGTGTCTTCGGCAGGCGTAGAGCTAACACAACTGGCAGCGTTGCGAGGCAAGGGCTCAAACATG